AGTAGCAGGTGGCAATCTTCATGAAGTAAGTAAACATGTAATTTGAGTGTGCAACTTTCCCTTAGAGTTACTGCTGAGCCTTATAACACCTCAGCCATTATCACTACTCACTGTAAAATCTAAAAATAATTTGAAAGCTGATTTTGCAGATTTTACATTGGCATTTAAGTATTTTATTGTACTCTCTTCCTTACTATTAATTTTTAAGAACTAATAAAACTAGATGTATAGATATTTTATTTATCACTGAATAATTTTAGTTGAAAATGATATATTTGGTTGTAAAATAAACACAAGCTGAGATTCACTGGAAACATATTTGAATAATGAGCATAAAATCAAGGAACCTGTATTGAACATATTTCAGATTACAAATAATAGTGATTTTAAATGAACACTATGAATAAAAGAATTTTTATGAGAACAATTTTAATGTAATTTCTCAAGAAGAATGAAATACGATTTTTGAAAAGACACTTATTAATAGTAACAAATTCTTATAGAGAAGGGAGAAATGAAGAATGAACGCTATTCTTGGATTGTAGAAAATGAATCAAAGTTAAGTTGGACATGGCTCAGACTGACTAAATCACTCCCACAGATGAAACATGAGGAGTATGTAGCAGAAACCAACATTTCCACAGTAATGCAATTTGTCCTCCTGGGATTCGAGGATCTTCCCAAACTCCAAGGGATTCTGTCTGCATTGTTCTCCATCATTTACATGATTATCCTCATTGGTAATTGCCTCATAATACTAATAACTAGACTTGACCCTACACTGCAGAAACCCATGTACTTTTTCCTTGCAAATTTTTCTTCCCTGGAAATCTGTTATGTATCAGTTACTGTCCCAAGAATTCTGTTCAACATTTGGACACGGGATAGAAACATCTCTTTGCTGGCTTGTGCTGTGCAGATGTGCTTCTTTCTTATGTTGGGAACTAATGAGTGTTTTCTCTTGGCTGTGATGTCCTATGATCGCTATGTGGCCATCTGCAACCCTCTGCACTATCCTCTGGTCATGAACCCCAGAAAATGCACTCAGCTGGCCACAGGCTCCTGGCTCATTGGCATCCCAATCCAGATTGGGCAAACCTGTTGGATATTCTCTATGAAATTCTGCAATTCTAATAAAATAGACCACTTCTTCTGTGATATACCACCCATTCTCAAGCTGGCATGTGGGGACACTTTAGGGCATGAACTGTCTGTCTATGTGGTTGTTATGGTGGTGGCAGCACTGCCTTTTATACTGGTGCTTACATCCTACAGTAAAATCATCACCACCATCCTGAGGTTGCCAACAGCCAAAGGGCGAGCAAAAGCCTTCTCAACATGCTCTTCTCA